TTGCGGGTTCCGGACGGCGCCACACAGCTGCTTGCCACGCATGGGCATGCAGGAGCTGTCCGTCTCTTGTAGCTCGTTCTTTTCCTTTAAGACACGCAGCGCCGGCCGCCTCCTTCTCTCTTTCCTCTCCTGCTTGCCGCCGACCGTCTTCGCCGCTTCCTCGCATGGTGACACGTTGCCGTCTCCGTGGCGACCTTGTTCGGGAGCTGGCGAAGCTGGACACACCCTTCCCTTCTATAAAGAGGAGCACCTGCCGCCGTCGTCCTTTCTTTTCTTCTCTGCTCTGTTCCGCCACCGCTCAGCTCCGTCGCTCGTCGTAGCCGTCGTTGAACCGTTCCCGTCGTGCCTAGCTATGCCAGCGTGATCGTCTCGATCTAGCGCTTCTCTTTGGCTTGCTCGCATCACTTGAGTTGGCCGAAATCGCCCAGCGCAACGCATTCTTCCCCGTGACCGGCCGGAGCTCCGCCGCGATCATCTCACCATGGTCAAGCCACTCCGGTGAGCCTCTCGTCGATTCTTCTTGTGGTTTAGCTTCCCCGTGACATCCTGTTGCTCGTAAGCTCGATCGTTTTCTCAGTCGAAGCCCAGTCACGTCGGAGAGTGTCTCACCGCCGTGCCCGCGCCACCGTGGCCGCCATGGCTGGCGTAGAGCTTCCTCCGGTGCATCTGCTGCTGTTCTAGGTGTCGGGGTAGGTTCGCGGGGTGGTGTTGGTCATGCTGGTGCGGTCCGCCTCGCCGGAGCCTCGCCGCTGGCGAGTTTGGTCGGCCAGAGCCGGCAGCGCCGCCGTGTGTCCTGTTTTGTGTCGCTGACAAGCGGGCCCTGGCTGTCAGTGAGAGAAGAGGGAGAGAACAGAGAGATTTTGTATTTTCTGGATTTTGAATAGTGCAGAAACTTTGAAAATTCATAGGAAAATAATTACAGCTCTAGAATTTCTGAAAATTTGTGTGTAGCTTCTGTACATGTTCTATTATGGTTTAAAAATATGAAACTTGAAATTTGAATAAATTTTTAATGTTCAAAAATTCAGTCAATTAATTGATAAATGTCATTTCCACAATTTTTGTAGGTCACTATATAACTCCAAAAATTATGAAAATTGTTTTGGTACACTAATTTGTCATGAGAAATCTTACATAAAATTTTGAGGTCATTTGGAACAAGTTAATTTTGATCTTATTTCCAAATTAATTCAAAAATGAATAAAAGCAAACCCTAAGTGTTAGGTTAGAGTTTGATCTTGTTTTGGTCATGTTTTGTGACCAGTAGGGTTTCAAGATCAATTTGATCAAGTCACTTAGGTCATAAGCCCTAGGTCATTAAAGTTTGGTTAGAGTATAGTTAATGAATGATTTCGTTCATTAAAGGTAGAACTTTAGAGTGAAATTTTGGGTAATTCTTTAGAAGAATGTAGGGTTTCTTAGTAAATATTTTTGTGTGGTCCATGATGGTAGAATTACAAGTTGGTTTTGTTGGCTTGCAACTATACCGTGAAGGAAAAGTTGTACTCAAGGTGTTATTATATTTCATGCACCATGAAAGCATCATGTTTACATTATCATCATGTTGAAGCATATGTTATTATTTCGTGTAGAATCCGAGAGTGAACCGATTCTGGTTGAGCAAGTTGTGGAAGAATCCTCGGTTGTCTTGGGATTCGATATATGTGGTACTGATCCGAAATTCGAGATCATCAACGAAGGCAAGCCCCGATTTATGCATTAAACCATTACCTTATTTACTTTAAAAAGTTTATCACCTATATTACCTATTGCATTAAGTTGATTTATTCAAATGTTACCTACTTGATGCATTGCCTACCTTGTTAATTGTTTACTATCCTTGAAGATGATTTTATTTACAAAGACGTAGAATGCTTAGTATGCTTTATGGTAGGCTTTCAAAGTAAAAGTTTCGATACAATCAAAGATGACATACTAGCCAAAGAAAGAAAGAAGATAGAATGAACTAGAGACTAGTCGGGTCACTTATCTTGAATGTTGGGTAATGTTGTCGACTATGTCGCTTAAAGGCCACTCATTGTGGATCTTCTGAACGAGACACTTTGTAGTACTGGTCACATACTCCGGTAAGCCTACTTCGGCTAATCCGATACCAAGACGAATGCCCACGCACTGGGAGTGGAGAGATGGCGGGAGTAGCGTGTACCCTCGTGGCTGAAATGTGGTCGGATTGGAGGTGTGTTGTGCTTTCGGGTGGCGTGGAGATGGCTTAGTATGGAAGGATCTGGTAGCAAGGTTGATATATGCAAGATTAAGATCTACATATGTCGTGTGATAAGGAATTCCCAGCTGGGACTTGAATCAATTCGAATTGTCGGTGCTCCGCGGATATGGAGACTCGATTCATTACAGAAGCAATGCAGAACTGGTGAATTACTAAAACATGAAAAAAAGAATAGAATGAGAAGGATTGGAATATAGGATATAAACACTTAGTTTGAGATAATGAACTAAGAAGACTTAGGGGTAAAACTTGAAAATAGGATAAAAAATAGTAAGCTTTTGGCAAAGAATTTTTGAATCTTGCTACATCCTTGCCTTGCCCCAACACCTGCATCCCTAAGATCTTCACCCCTTTTACGTCGGGTCAGTCTTGTTGAGTACTTTTGTACTCAGGGTTTGTTAACTCTTGTTGCAGGTGAGTCGTATGTGCAGGCTTGTTTTGGTCCCTGCTGCATGTTAGTGTTTGAAGTCGATGACGATGAGGAATGATGAATGGCCTTTGGACAAGGCACTAGTTTGTGTGAAAAATAATGTTATGTAATATTATCCCGCTACTATGGTTGTATGACACTTATGGTTTTGTAAGTTTGAAATAACTGGTTTGTAATATTAAAACTTAAGTCTTCCGCTTTATAATTTCTGATATGTATATCGAAAATTATTGTAATATGCAATGTCTGCGATTGGGATCCTGTTCGAAAAAGATTCGTGGATGATTCGGGTTTTCGAGGACACCCGATAGACCTGTTAAGTAGTTGGGAACTTGTGTACGCTATCAGAAGTCTGTTGAGACAACGATAGATGCACGTGAGCCCGATTTCTTAGGAGGTTCTGCCACATACAAGTCGACCGAAACACACGTAAAACTAAAATATTTTCACCTCCATACCTATATACTAGAAGATTGTAAAGTCGATCGAAACCCTGTTGTTCAGCACTACTTCAACACTACTTTTCAGCGAGCGAACGAACAATATTTTTCTCTCACAACAAATCAGCATAAGCATCAACATAACTGCATAAGCCAAATTTCAGCGAAACGAACAGGGCACCGCTATTTGGATGCTACTAGTGTGTTTGGAAATCCCAAAGTTTTCAAAAGCAATAATAGTATAAAAGTGATGTTTCATAGCACGTTTATTTTCTAAAATATCATTTTATTGTCTGGATACAAAATAACTTGAACATTTTTTTTTCAAAAGTGTATTTCATTTGATGGATACAAAAAAGCATTAGCTTTTGGTGAATGAAAATGTCAGCACCATTTGCCTCGTGGAAATCTAGTGACAATCTGCAAATTAAAGTTATAAGAAAATGTCCTAATTACTATATTCATTCTGCATAAAGATAAACTTTGGTTCGGTTTACTCCAATCAACTTTTGATTTGGTCGTATTTGTTCTTAACAAGATTTATTATTTTTGCTTCACCATATTTCTGGTTGATTTTTTACTTCAAATTTAACATAGAATCACTTAGAATCACTTCACCAGTGAATCAGGGAGCACAGCTGGAGAATCAGGGAGCATAGCTCTGCCAAAAGGACTCATAATCTATGTTAACAATACACCATATTTTCTTATCATTACCTTTGATAGCTTAGGATATCTAATAATAAACTAATACTTAAAATTTTAAAATGTAAAAAACATAATAAAAACAAATCCGTAATGCATTTATATGATGTCCATCATCACCTCTCAAAATTTGAATTAAAAATGGACTTGTATATGAAGGAACAAAATAAAATAAATCTTGTTAAGTGGCAAACTGGACCGACTAAAATAAAAGGAGAGTAAACCAAACTAAATGTTAGTTTAGGAGGTTATCCAAAACTTGAAGGGAGTAATTTAGATTTTTCCTAAAATGATAAAGGAAATAGGACTGAACTTTGGAAACTTCGGTGCTTATATGTACAGCTTTCAGTTAAATTGTCGAACTTGATATCTAGGAGCAAGAAACGTCATTTGGAGCAGTCGTCAGTGTTGAGCTTCCCGGATATGTTAGCTGCAAGTGACCTTACAAAACTACTTATAACAGTGTACTACATTTTTTTTTATACTGGAACACCCAACTGTCACCTGAATTTCTTTTCTTTTCTTCAGTTTCTGGGATGTTCTCTGAAATCCAAAATAAAATACGATTTATCCAGGACCAGCTTGTTCTTGCACGACATATCCTCAGGGAGTACAAGGCTTCACATTCACTTATTAAGTTTTGGATTCATGCATGCTGCTTGCACCGGCGATGTGTTGCGCGTGGAGGTTTGTCTGTGAGCGGTGGCCACATGATGGACGACATGGGACAGTAGGGGGAAACTCCTCCTGATTTCCTCAAAAAAACATGATGGACGACATGGGACGGTAACTTTGGCAGTGATCCTGTCATCCATGGCTTGGGGAAGAATGGGGACCCAAATCAGAAGAAGAAAACAAGGAGGCGCGCATGAAAAGTATCCCACTGCCTGTTTGACTGTTTGTTTCTTTATATATCATCGTCTCAGTCTGAAGTCTGAATAGAATAGAACAGAACAGCTGCGACTCTCCACGCCACCGAAGAGGCCACCTCCCCTCGTTACAGCGGCTCCTCCCACCCACCCAAGAGCTCACCTCCTCCGTCCTCTCGCACCTTATCTTACTCGTTTAAATACCCGCGTTTCTTCTCGGGGGGAGAGACAAACAGCAGAGCTACATTAGATACCACAGAGAGAGAGAGAGAGAGAGAGAGAGAGAGAGGGCGGCAGCGGGACTCGGGGGGATGGCTTTGCTGCAGAGCCAGAGCCTGCACGGCATTGGCTGCTGCAGCAGCATCGTCTTGGCACGAGCGAGGGTGCAGCAGTGTCTGGCAGCGGTGTCGCACTCGCACGCGCCCCTCCTGCGAGCCAATGGCGGCAGGACGGGCCTCCCCTCCTCCACCTCCTCCCTTAAGGCTGGCAATGCGATCAGCTTCAGCTGGCGGAGGAGAAGGGACCTGCGCGTCGTCGCGGAGGCGGCCACGGCGGGGGCGGCCAAGGTCACGCCGGCCTCGTCTGGCGGTGTCAGCATCAGCGACGTGCTCTGGCCTTCCGCCGGTGAGTCCCACAGACTTCGATGATTCCTTTTCCTCTTTTGGTGAATTCGGAGGTTTCTCTTCGATCCGATCTGCTGACTCCCCTTTGTCTGAAGCGCTCTCTGCTACTGCCAGATGATGACAACAATTTCTTGCATATTTATTTCCAGATGATGACAACTATTTCATGCATATTTATTTCAGAAAAACAAGTAGTTCTTGCATATTGGCGAACCAGCGCTAAGTTTTTGGGCTTTAAGAACACGTTTATTACGAAGAGAAAGGCCTCCTGTTTGATCTGTTGCCCTCTACAATAATGTTGATACCATGCAGGAGCATTCTTGGCCATGGCGGTACTGGGGAAAATGGACCAGATGGTGGCGTTCAAGGGAGTATCCTTGACGATTGCGCCCCTTGGAGCAGTCTGCTGCGTGCTTTTCAGCGCTCCAGACTCGCCTGCAGCCAAGGTGCATGGTCAACACACATTTTAAAATATTTGTTTTGAAGAAAATAACATCTTAAAATACAGTTCCACAATGTTTAATTTATGACGGTAGCGTAGGACGAAATAGCCGCTTTGGGCACCAGAGATGAAAAAGGGTCATACATCATCCTTTTCTTTTGAGAAAAGTGTTTGGTATGATGATAGATATAGACAAATTAGCCTCAGACACTTTTCTCACATATTCCTTATTGAAATGTTCTGCTGAATTCTCTAAATTTACTGAAAAAATATTAGAATGCTCCACAAACAACCACTTAGGCATAAATCTGATTAACCATGGTTGATTTAAGGGTAACTGAATTTAAACCAGAAAAGGCAAAGATATCATTAACCGAGAAGAGTGGCAGTGGCAGACGCAATGAGGTGGAAAAGCAAAGCATTGAGACCTCCATAGTTGCAGAAACAAAATATCCAGTTAAAAAGCATGTAGCTAATATTTTTGAAGTTAAAAAGCATGTAGCTAATATTAGTAAAAAAAAATGAAGAACTCAGCTCCAAGTCATTCCAATGTAACCACAAATTTAAATGTTTACTGAGTTATCTGATGTTTTCAAAATAATAAAATACCATTGTGGCAGGCTTACAGTTACCTTCTTCCATTTTGAGATGATTCAAGATTGTAGAAACCTGTAGCTACTTGCTTACAGCGAATCAAAATCTCTTGAAATCTACCTATGATAATCAATACTAACACAGTAATAATTTGTGACTGTACAAACTTGTAGCTACTCTAATGGCGAATCAAAAGTTCTCGTGCTTCATCTATGATAATCAATACTAACACGGGTGGTAACAACTTGCAGAAATATAATATGTTCGTTGCCCAGATTGGTTGTGCGGCTTTTGGCGTATTAGCCCTCTCGTTGTTTGGGCCTGGCTGGTTAGCAAGAGGCGCAGCTCTTTCAGCCAGCATAGCATTCATGACCATCACGGGTGCCTCACATCCACCAGGTAAAACTCCCAAGACAAGAAAGTATGGTTCTGTTGCCCTAGCTGTCTGTACTTCATCTCCTCTCTACTGAACTCTTGTTTTGTTCGCTCCTTCATTTCTCATTTCTGAATTCTTGCAGCGGCAAGCTTGCCCATCTTGTTTATCGATGGCCCGAAGTTTCACAATTTGCAACTTTGGTACGCGCTTTTCCCTGGAGCTGCAGGCTGCATCGTCCTTTGCTTGATTGTAAGTAAATTGTACCTCACGGCTTTCTGAAAGAACATAAAGCTTAGTGCATAGAAAATAGAACATTAACCCTTATGCCACAATATTTTTGCAGCAAGAGGTGGTGCTTTACCTGAAGAAGAACTTCAAGTTTTGACTCAAGCAGCTTGACTCTATGGATTCTTGTGGCAGCGATTAGATTAATTATTCAATCATGCACCATAAATTACATAGCTGCATTTGTGAGAAAGTTGCGAAAATGAAGGTTTACTGTCTCGTGCCTTGGTTAAAGAAGAAAGAAGACTTTCCTTGATACCTTGTGCTCATCAAAACGCAGAGGATACAAATGTGTACATACCATTCTCGCATTGAATGAAGTCTGACAAACTGTACACATCGGATTCTTGACAATTCTTTTTTCTTCTGGTAGAATCAATCATGTAATGTAATTGTGCAAACTGAAATAGCCAGGAATACTTTATGATAACCTCTGGTTATCTGAAGGGAGATAAAACCATTTGTTCTAGAACAGAGTTGCAGTTGCATGGACAGAGCCCATAGTTACAGATTGCTGACCCAGACTCAGTACAACTCCGACTAACAATTCAAAAAGGTTAAATTCAGAAGCGCTTAGTAATGGAATGTAAGTGCAAGGACATGACACACAAAAAGAGTCTTTGAAAAACTTACAGATAGTGGATATGTGCTAAACTTATACGGCAAACTGACGACAGTTAATAGTTACATGAATGACACTGCACTAGTCCAACACTCACCTGACTACCTTATAAACTAAGCAGACAATTTAAGGATCAAGAAAAGACTACCCAGTTATCTATGTCACTATACATCCCAGCCATCACCCCGGCTGTTAAAAGACCTCTTGGAAGTCAAATTCCCAAAGATTCCTGAAAACAAAGCAAGGCATTTGCTCCTAACATGGTAATGTGCCTGTGTGTTTCGACTAATGGCTACTCCTGAGAACTTAGACATATCAATTGCCCAAGCTGGTTTTACATACTCCACTGTGCTTGCCGAGCTTGCATTCGCAAATAAGAAATTTAGGAGAATATCCTCACAATTAAAGAAACTATCAACAATCTGCCTTCCTATCTCAGCCTCTTTGCTCCAGTACCTCTTAAAGGCTAGCTCATGATCCATAAATGCTGCTCCTGTTAGTATGATGTTATAACCTCCTTGTTGCCGAGCATACCTCTCATTGCGGTATTCCAGAGGCCAGCCCTCAGCAAGGCGTGGATAGTATCCAACGATCCTATCAGGGTGCTCCCTCCATACCTTGAACCCACGCTCTAAGTCATCACATGTCATCATGATATCATCATCAAGCTCCATAACAGCTCCTGTTTTAATTTCTTTGTCTATTTTGAATCTGTTGTTCAGAGTATTCTTGTTTTCAACTCTGATCCTAACAGGCACCATAGACTTCAATTCACCTTGCACTGGGGATCGACCTTTGTTCCAGACCACTACAATCTCCCTCACCGATGCACATTTAGAGTAATGCTCCACAAACATCTTCAGATTCCAAAATCGGGCGTCATAGGTCATGGTCAACAATGTGAACTGTGAGTACCTACCCCTAATAGGATATGGCTCTTCTGCACCACTGCCACCAAAGATGTAGTTAGTCCCCAAAAGAGTTAGGACTACTAATATCAATATTATAACAGCTATATAAACTCGGTCTTTCCAAGCTCTGTAATTAATTTTCCCACCAATAAGAGATCCCAACCTGTTCACATTGCAGATAAGCCAACTAAATTTATGGCACAGCAATACCTGCTTCTCTATATCAAAGGTGTCACTCCGTTTCTCAGTATGTGGTAGATACCATCTAAGTGGTAAGGTGCACTTGATTGCACCAATAAGCCCACCAAGTAGAAGAACCAAAATGCAAGCAGCACCATAAAACATACAGCCTACGGTCAGACGATGAATTGAGTCACCTGAAAGCACTCTGTCACCATCCATTACCCCAATCCAATGTTGACTTAATGGAAGCTTCTGGACATCAAGGTGATGGGACCTTGCACCATTCCATGCATTTCGATCCTTGAGGGGTTTGTCAAGGACAAATGGGACTGCGACTTCCTTGTATTGATCTGCTGTCAGGACTTCAACTTTGAATACTTGGATGGTATATCCATATCCACCACCACGATATTTGCCTATGCGATAAAGATTGTCATTATAAATGAATGGCCTGCCTCCATTTCTGGCACTTGGCTTGTTGCCTGTATTATGAATTGGATTCTGCTTGTGTGGATTCCAAGGACCAAGAGGAGAGCTGCTGTACCAAATAAAGAGTTCACCTGTCTGTTTTGCGCCATAAGAACTTAAATCTGATCCAAGGAGCCAATAGGAACCCTTGAAATATATGATGACCGAATCTACAAGCGGCCTCTCCAGAAGGACCTTTTCTAATTCCCACTTAAGGGGAAACTCCACGGCACGATATAACTTAAGGTTTCCTTTCTTCCTGCTTTCAGGCATCATGTAAGTCTGTCAAAGTAAGGCAAAGGAAAGAAAAACAGATAGATAGGAAAATCATTAGAACAAGCATTTCTTTGTTGATGATCAATAATGCACAATTTTCTCCAATACGTGAATAATATATTTACCTCGTTTCCATAACTAAACACATATGGGTAAGAAAGGTGCCACTCCTCATCCAACACTACACCCAGCTGCTGCCATGCTGTGCCAGCGTCCTTGCTCACGGCAGCAGCAATGTCGCCTTGTGATGCAATGGGGTTCTTGGTCTCGAAAAACATATAAATGGAATCCCCCTAAAGACATTGTAGCATTGAATTATGCATTCACCAAGAGTGGAGACAAACTGCAAACTAGTACTGTTTTTTTTTTGAAACCACCGCAGGACGTCAAAATTGTGACAACGTCATGAGATCATTTTATGATTAATATGCCAACTCTTTATGTAACTGAGACTTGTCTGCAGCAGTAGATAATTCATCCCTTATAAATGCCCTATAAATTTCTCCTATAAATTTCTAATAAGGCTAGGAAAGCAAAGCAAAGCTCCGAACCTGGATGAAGAGAAAGGGGTTGGCGACGAAGCTGCTAGGGAATCCAGCCTCCGCCACATCGGCGCACGTCACCACCGGATTCGCCACTGGCCATGCCGCTCCAGGGTCACTAGAGATCCTCCACTGCATCCACAAAAACCAAGCCAATTAAATAGCACCACTACGAGGAGAGGGAGAAGGGGATGAGCTCGGGGAGTCGGTTACGTGCTCGATGGGCTTGAGGGAGAAGGGGGAGTCCCCGAGGAAGACGCCGGCGGACCAGGACCCCTCGGCGTCGGCACGGCACCCGCGGGTGGCCGGCGGGTGCGGGAAGCGGGGGAAGGCGGCGCGGGAGTAGGCGACCGCGGCAAGGGTGAGGAAGGCGAGCGTTGCGGCGAGGTAGGCGGGTGCGGATGGCGCTGGAGGCTGGCGGCGGCGATGCTCCATCGCCGGCCGCGTGGGTGACGACGGCATGGATCGGTAGCGGTTAGAGATTTGTTGTTGATGATCGTGGCACGGCACCGCTGCCGCGAAAAGAGCAGGCAGCAGGGGACGAGGCGCGCCGCGCGCAAAAGATGGCGTCAGCGACTCAGCGTTGCTGCGTGGGCGGATTTCTTCGATGGGCCGGGCCCGTGATGACAGAAACTCGGAAGGAAAGGCCATGTTCGCGCATCAACTTATCAGCTGTTCGACTTATCAGCTATAATGTTTTTCTCTCATATCAAATTAATATTAGCTAGCTTGGTGCGTGACATGGAAGAAGGCCAGCAAGGCCTTGTGATGATCCATGAAAAGAGGAGCAAGTGGGCCAAAAGGAAACATGGCTCCGGTTTCTTATTATTTTATTAGTTTAAAATCTTGTTACTACGGCTAAGGTCCTATTCACTTATCTTATAATTCCGTCTTTTTCAGCTTGTTTTTTCAGTCGGAACAGTATTTCTTTCTCACAACAAATCAGCTAGAATAATGTTTCGAATTATTTTAAGGCGTGCAATATTTTAGAGAATCCAGATGCACGATCAATTTTAGTAACATAAGTTAGTTTATTATATGCTATATATATACATACTCCTAGACGGAGAGGGAGCAGGATCAGAAACTAGTTAGGCCGATCCCGTTTACTGTTCCTGTCGTGTCGAGACGGAACAAGATTCTTAGGTCTCCCGTCCTTCCACGAATCAATGACCCCCGCGAGACCAGCTGAGCACGAAGGCGAAGGGCAGAAGGGTGTAACGCGCTTGCCATATCGATCTCTCGGCGGCGCGGCGACCGTGCCTCCTTCCCGATCGAGGGAACCTCGGCGGGAATAGATGGAGCAGCTGCCTCGGGACGTGCTAGCGGACGTCCTAGCCCTCCTGCCGCCGCGCACCCTCGCGTGTCGCCTTGCGTCTGCATATGGACGCGACGCGCGCTGCCAGCCCACGGATGTCATCTTCGATGACGAACGAGGCTGAGTACCCGGAATTCTTCGTCCGGCCCTCGATGGCGCGTAAGATCGCCGGCGATCTCCCAAGCTACCTGAAGATGGACAAAGACGATCACGGCTACTCTCTCGCAGCCATCTCGGATTGCCGCAATGGCCTCATCCTGCTTGAGGATCACGTGATCAACCCGGCGACGAGGCAATGGATGCGCTTGCCGCCTTATCCGACCTTGCCCGAGGAAAAACGGAGCTATTACGATTATTGGTACCTTGTGTTCGATCCCACGTTATCGCCATATTTTGAGGGTTTTCGATGAAAAGTCCACTTGATTACAAGGACGAGTCGTTAGATTACATGTTAGCACGTATTTACTCATCAGAGGTGGGAGGAAAGGCCTTTTCTCCGTGAGGAAGAACACACAGCAACTGCTGCCAACGTATGGTCAAAAATGGATTGCGGACATTGGCATGCTGTCTACCGACATGGAGCACTCTACGTGTACTGGATGTTAACTTTCATTACGAGGTAGTCACTTGTCCCATAAACCTATATATATGTTTATATATTTTGATTTCTTCCATTGACGTTTTGAAGTATGCATGGTTGCTTATAGTAATTTTTTGCCAATGGTTTTATGTTGCAGGATAAACGTGTCCACTAATAAGTACCAAGTAATTGACCTGCCGCCTGACATTAACTCGACAAGGTATCATCAATTCCGTCTTGGAAAGTCAGTGAATGGGGTACATTTTGCGGTGGCTGGTTATCAGGAGGGACTCCAAGTTTGGTTCCTGGATGAGTCTGGTAGCAAGACGGAGTGGGTACTGAAGCATGTCACCAGGTACCCATTCAGTCATTATCATACTGATAGGCCCTGGATTTTACAACATGGTTCCTACGGCTACGATGATGATCAAGAAGAAAACAACAAAGAACCAACAGCAGCGGAAAATGATTCTGATTGGGACTCTGATGATGCTGATAATGCTGCTGATATTGATCTTGACTCCTGCCCGTATATTGAAGTACTTGGATTCCATGCTTACAGAGATATTGTCTTCTTGGTTTTGTCGAGGAAAGTCGTGGCGTATTATTTTAATAGCTCAAAGATTCAACATTTGGGAGAGCTGCTCATCAGATATTGTTATCAAGACATACGGGAGGGTTTCGTATACACACCTACTTGGATTGGAGAGTTGCCTGGAGCCAATTATCTAGTAAGATCAAGAAACTCGTATGGTATAGAGGAAGAGGACTTGCTGCATAGTATAGAGGATTAGTATGCATCAGAGTTTGTGAGCCAATGCAGTAGATCGCCATGTGTAATAAAAATGGTGGAGTATATTCTGATGATCCACCAGAAGCAGAGAACGCGAGTCTTTTTTGCGCGACCATGCCTTGGCACGTTTTTTTACTAAGAGAAAATAGAGTTTAGTGCAGACAAATACACAGTAATCAAACGATTACCATGTAACGGTGAGATGGAGTGCTCTGACAACGGGCCATCAGAAACTGAATAGGATTAACTTTTTAAATTCACTTATTTATAGTAATACATATGAGAATCAAACTAATTTTTTTGTAACATCAATTTCAGATTCAGAATTAATTTTAAGAGAACAATTCATTTCAAAAATAAGGATTGTACTGAAATAGATAGAATTACCTCAAGATTATTCTTCCAATTTACATCCGGAATCAAGCTAGGCGCAGGCACGAGGCGTTTGAACATCTGATCATGCGCCCCGCCCCCTCAAAAGGTTGGTTAAAGTCAGCCTAGCTAGGTGCATTGCCGCGTGGTATGGTGTTATTGCTTCCTGTGATTGCGGCAGGATGAGGGCTTGGTGAATGGCTTCATTGGAGTTCGAGTAAAACGTACCTTCAAGTTCAAGATAGCACATGATGACTTGAACGATGTCCCCAAGCATTAGTGCATTACCAGATGTAGAAGACTCCCTCAGATGTAGACACGAATTTTCAATATAAGATAGTAAAATATACCTTCAAGAAAATCATCTATGATGGAAATCAAATATTTGTTTCTGAGTTCTAACCTATTTCCTGAAGTCCACAGGCACCGTAATGTATTTGTCTCAATGGGCAACTCCAGTGCATAGGGTGGCAACATTCTCGCCAGAGTACAGAGAACACCAACCATGCAATAATTTGGAGCACCGAAAACCATATCAAGAATAAACATGCATATCCATCACTGGATGTGCAAATGACATCAAAATTGCTTTATTTACAGTTCTCAAATAATTCTAACATACAGATGTTACAGGGTTCACAATATCTTCCTAGCCTTTAGATATGAGTACACGAGGAAAAATCCAGCTACCGCTCCAACTACTATTCCACCAGTCGTCGCCCAAAATGCCCACTGCTCAAAAACAAACTTATTGTCAACGATGGGGCAGGCATGCTATATTAACTATGGATAGTGCCGATACATGGCACAGAACCAGAAAAAAAAGGCCAAGAGTGCAAGGCTATACCGCATTTGTTTCGAGATATGATTTAAGATTCATGCCAAATATTCCTACAAACAAAGTACCCGGCATTAGTCTAAGAGTGGTGTGGCAAATGTATCTAAAAAATAACTTGATATAAAACATAATATTTACAAATTATAACAAAATTAAGATTCCTATACCTGCAATTAATGCCCCTATTGCAACGCAAAATGTTCCCACTTGAAGAAGCAGCTCCACTCTACTTACTTCAAGTCGTCGGGAACTGCAAGGGTTCCAAAGCAATCGTAAGCAAAACATAACCCATTATATGTTCAAATTTAGAGCAAGTTTGGCACATCCATTTCTCATGACAAAATTAGCAGTATTTCATAATTCTTGATTGTAGGATGCAGGATTCAGAAAACAAACATGAAACATGAGCCGGCAGAGAGAGCTGAGAGGCGGCAAGTAACATGCAGCATTTCCCGTCTTCACTTTTGAGGCATCTAGACACTAGACAATAAGTTGGCCATACTTTGGATGACTTCTGTCTTATGTATTCATAGTAATTCAGGTTGATGAGCATGTTTCTAAATACACACTTGGTCAGCTTCAAATTCAGAAAAAGAAACCAGTAGGAATGACGAAAAAAATATCATTTTTTTTGTACCCTGGCAGAAGCAATGAATATACTATTTGCTAAAGCTGTGTATTCATCTACCAGCCAACCCTAGAGGGGTAGCAATGTATATGGGTCATACATGGGCCTCATGGGCCTAATATACTCAACACCCTCCATGATCCTGAACTACCGGCCATGGCGGAATTCTGAGATGGACATGAAAAAACACACACACAAGCCCCCTCACAGACGCAACTAGCCACTAATGATGTTGAGGCTGGAGCGAAATCGGCTGAAGGTCGATGGACGGAGGCCCTTGGTGAAGATGTCGGCAACCGGGAGGTGGTCGGGACGTGGAGGACCCGAACATCGCCGATGGCAACTCGATCACGGACAAAGTGTAGGTCGATCTCCACATGCTTGGTCCGTTGGTGCTGCAGGGGTTGGTGGAGAGGTACACTTGACCGACGTTGTCGCATGATAAACCAGCGTGCTCCGGAGAGAGGGCTGTGGAGCTCGGCAAGGAGCTGTCGGAGCCAGGAGGCCTCACCACGCCGTTAGCACAAGCGGTACTACTCCGCCAAGACCTTTGGATCGGAGACCATCGGTGGCGCTTGGACGACCAAGACACCAGTGTTGCCGCTTGAAAAGACAACGTAGCCGGAGGTAGAGCGCCGAGTGTCCGGACACCCGGCCCAGTCGGCGTCAGTGTAGACGACGAGCTCGGTGGAGGAAGACCGCTGAAGGAGTAAGCCGTAGTCGATAGTGCCGCGGAGGTAGCGGAGGAGGCGTTTGAGATATGATGAGGTGAGGCTCGGGGATCATGCATGTGAAGGCATATCTCTTTGCCTTTGCATAGGTGATGTCCGGCCTTTGGTGAAGGTGAGGTAATGAAGGGCACCTGCAAGACTCCGATAGCGATGGGGTCGCCACGGTGGTTCCCACGACCTCGGACAACTTACCTGTGTTAACCGGAGTAGAGCAGGGCTTGCGATTAGTCATCCCAAAGACGCTCCAAAATATCAAGAGTGTCTTCGCCATTTGGTGAAGGAGAAGGCCGGTGGGGGCGAGGCTCAACAAAGGACACCGAGGAAGTGGTGGAGCACCCCAAGATCCTTCATAGCAAACTCCTCTTCGAAGAGAGGCGATGACGACACGGTGAAGTAAGGACGGATCGAGGTTGTGAGAACAATATCATCAACGAGAGCGGAGCAGATAGGCGATCTCGGCTCCATGATGATAGATAAACAGGGGACGTGTCGACTTGGCCTCCACAAACCCCCGATGTCGGCAGAGAAAGCAAACAAACCGAGAGTACCACCTTTGGGGCCCGCTTGAGGCCAGAGAGAGACTTGTTGAGCCGTGAGACCATGTCCCGGACGAGAAGAGTCAACAAACCCCATGCTGGCCGGGCTGCGATATCTTGTCTCGGTTAGGGTCCCGTGGAGAAAAGCATTCTTGACGTCCAGCTGATGCACGGGCCAAGATCGACTGAGAGCCAGGGAGAGCACTGTGCGTACGGTGGCCGGCTTCACCACGGGACTGAAAGTCTCATCATAATCAACTCCAGGGCGCTGGGTGAAACCCCGGAGAACCCAGCGAGCCTTGTACCTCTCAAGGGTACCATCAGCCCGCCGCTTGTGTGTCCAGATCCACTTGCCAGTGACGACGTTGGAGCCGGGTGGGCGGGGCACCAGATCCCATGTCCGGTTGACGAGGAGAGCCGCGTACTCCTCTTCCATCGCTGGCGCCAATGAGGGTCCGACAAAGGCGCCGCGGACGGAAGAAATGCAGGAGAGATCTCACGGGTCGCCGGGCATCGTCGCGAGAGCCTGGGGTCTTAGGGTACCACCTGCGTGTCGCGTCACCATAGGGTGAACATGCCGCGGGTGTCGGTGAAGGAGTGGCGGGTGGTACGGCGACACACGATGGGCGGCTTTGAGGTGTGGCGGCGGCGGTGTAGGGGTCGCCCGGCGGAGAGGGGCCCCGGTGGTCACCGGAGGCGGCGGTGTGCTGCCAAGACACTGCTGTGCCCAGGTAGACGCGCAGGAGGTGCGACAGTGGTGTCCCGGACCGCGGCGACGGAGGGGTAGGTGCAACTCCGGAGGGTGACGCCTCTGACCGTGTAGAAGCTTGAGGCAGGCGCCACGGTGGGAAGAAGGGGCACGGGCGGCCGGATGAGGGGCACGGGAAGCATTACTGCAGGAGGCAATGAGGGAAAAATGCAGTTTGGACCACCGTGTCGATTGGGAAACATAGAGAAGGTGTCGAGGATCGGGGTGGGAGGTGGTGTGGTGGTGGTGAGAAGGGAAGACAGACTCATCAAACACCACATGGCGAGAGATGAGGACCCGACGGGAGGTGAGGTCAAGCAGCACCGGTACCCCTTGTGATCCGGGGAGTACCCAAGGAAGACACACAGAGTGGAGCGGGAACTTGTGGGGGAGGCGGTGGCGGTGGTGTTAGGGTAACATGCACACCAAGACACGAAGGTGGTCATCTGAGGAGGGTACCAAGAAGAGGCGTGGTGTGGTGTGGGAGCCAAGGCAGCAAAGTGGAAGGTAGGCGGTTAAGGAGATAGGGGGAGGTGTGAGACTCTACGCTTGAAGCGAAAGCGAGAAGCGCACGCACTGGAGAGAAGGGTGCGCATGGTGTCGTTCGTGGTGCGAATCATGCGCTCGGCCTTGCTGCTCGGGAGGAGGTATACGGGCAAGACACATGGATGGACACCTTGAGAGAGGAAGAAGGCACGGGAGGTACCGTTATCGAACTCACGGCCATTGTCTGCACTGGACGGCCTTGATGGTAAGGCCGAACCGAGAGTGAGACACCAAAGCGAAAAAGTGGAGAAGAGTGGTGAAGGTATCCGACTTTGCACGCAAAGGAAAGTCCACGAATAAATCACGAAAAATCGTCAACCACCACAAGATAGTATTTATACCCGAAATCTTCGATGACGGAGATGTCCATAGGTCGCAGCATGTACAAGATCAAACACATGCGTAGTATTTGAAGAAGAAGAACAAAAGGGAGCGAACATGACGGCCCACCGGCACGCATGACACAAGTGCTCATCGTGAGCGAGTACAACCAATGTCGGAGCTGCGACTAAGGCTGCGTCGAGCATCACGCCCGGGATGGCCGAGGCGGCGGTGCCAAGTGGTGGAGGAAGGAGTGGCGGCGAAGGCGGTGACAAAGTAGG